ATCCAACATGCAGCTCGTGAATGACTGTGTCCAACATGCAGCTCATGAATGACTGTATCCAACATGCAGCTCATGAATGATTGGGTCCAACATGCACCTTGTGAATGACTGTATCCAACATGCAGCTCGTGAATGACTGTGTCCAACATGCAGCTCATGAATGTCTGTATCCAACATGCACCTCGTGAATGACTGTATCCAACATGCAGCTCATGAATGACTGTGTCTAAGATGCAGCTCGTGTATGACTGTGTCCAACATGCAGCTCATGAATGACTGTATCCAACATGCAGCTCATGAATGACTGTGTCCAACATGCAGCTCGTGTATGACTGTCCAACATGCAGCTCGTGAATGACTGTATCCAACATGCAGCTCGTGAATGACTGTTCCCAACATGCAGCTTATGAATGACTGTATCCAACATGCTGCTCGTGAATGTCTGTGTCCAACATGCAGCTCATGAATGACGGTATCCAACATGCAGCTCGTGTATGACTGTGTCCAACATGCAGCTCGTGAATGACTGTATCCAACTTGCAGCTTATGAATGACTGTATCCAACATGCACCTCGTGAATGCATAATGCTGATCAATGCAGGTAGTTTATTGAATATAACAGGCAGCCTGTTCATGAAGGTGTATTTAGCTGAGACAATTCTCAGAGACTTATGACAAAAATTACGACTACCATAAGAGTTAATCTTGAGGCTGTCTTAAACCTATCGCAATGTTACCTTACTTATGTCACAAGTCTTTGCTATGACAGTGAGCTCTTTTGTGACGGAGGTAAAATAAGCTGTGTATTGCCCAAGTCGTCATCGATTATACAGGGAATTCCCTAGATTGAAATTCATGTTTGCATTTATATTTGTAAATAAAAAATAACAATAGACATTTTGAGGATAAACAATTAAACCCCTACTGGAGATAATTGGTGATGATTCTTTCAACAGTGGTGCATACTGTGATTAATATCTAGCAGGTCTTGAAGAATCATAGCAAGAAACATGCATGTGTCCTTTAGGCATGTTTATGTGGCAACGATAACCCTAGACACAACATCCTCTGTCCTACACTGCACCACCTCGCTGTGGTTAAGTTGAACCCAGGGTCAAGAGTGTGCATTCACGTCACCAAAATGTATTTTTTATATCAAACTCTCATTTAAGATTCTTCTCATTGTTGAATTGTTACGGACTGGGTACTGGACAAACGGGAAATTTGAACAGATAAGTTGTGTCTTTGTTTCAGCTGATTACAGACATTAGTGACAACAATGTTGTTTACTTGTACCGTATGTACAGGAAATAAAGACGACGATATCCATAACTTGTATCTACTTTGTCATCCGTCATCTTCTCAGTAATGCCTATCAAACTATTCAAACAGTTGTGTCATATGTTTTTTCAGGTGAACAATTGACTTGCCTTTGCATGTGTTTGTGATGGTGGCACTGGTGGAGCAGGATGTGCTCACTTTTTTGGCGAACACCTGGTATTATCACTATTTGATAGTGATTCATAAACACATGGTCATGATATAGTCGGAATTGTAAAATCAAGTCATTGGAGATTTTTTTATGAATATCGTTGTATTATTGTTCAAAGTAAGGGCTGTTTGCATTTATTTCAGAACGAATTGATTTCATGAGGAGTAATGATGATATGTGATTACACCAGTCATACCCAGTATGTCAGATACCCCTGTTGTCAGATACCCCAGTTGTCAGATACCCCTGTTGTCAGATACCCCTGTATGTCAGATACCCCAGTTGTCAGATACCCCTGTATGTCAGATACCCCTGTTGTCAGATACCCCTGTTGTCAGATACCCCAGTTGTCAGATACCCCAGTTGTCAGATACCCCTGTATGTCAGATACCCCTGTTGTCAGATACCCCAGTTGTCAGATACCCCTGTTGTCAGATACCCCAGTTGTCAGATACCCCTGTATGTCAGATACCCCTGTTGTCAGATACCCCAGTTGTCAGATACCCCTGTTTGTCAGATACCCCTGTTGTCAGATACCCCAGTTGTCAGATACCCCTGTATGTCAGATACCCCTGTTGTCAGATACCCCTGTTGTCAGATACCCCAGTTGTCAGATACCCCAGTTGTCAGATACCCCTGTTGTCAGATACCCCATTTGTCAGATACCCCTGTATGTCAGACACCCCAGTTGTCAGATACCCCAGTTGTCAGACACCCCAGTTGTCAGATACCCCAGTTGTCAGATACCCCTGTTGTCAGATACCCCAGTTGTCAGATACCCCAGTTGTCAGATACCCCTGTATGTCAGATACCCCTGTTGTCAGATACCCCAGTTGTCAGATACCCCTGTTGTCAGATACCCCAGTTGTCAGATACCCCTGTATGTCAGATACCCCTGTTGTCAGATACCCCAGTTGTCAGATACCCCTGTTTGTCAGATACCCCTGTTGTCAGATACCCCAGTTGTCAGATACCCCTGTATGTCAGATACCCCTGTTGTCAGATACCCCTGTTGTCAGATACCCCAGTTGTCAGATACCCCAGTTGTCAGATACCCCTGTTGTCAGATACCCCATTTGTCAGATACCCCTGTATGTCAGACACCCCAGTTGTCAGATACCCCAGTTGTCAGACACCCCAGTTGTCAGATACCCCAGTTGTCAGATACCCCTGTTGTCAGATACCCCAGTTGTCAGATACCCCAGTTGTCAGATACCCCAGTTGTCAGATACCCCTGTATGTCAGACACCCCAGTTGTCAGATACCCCAGTTGTCAGACACCCCAGTTGTCAGATACCCCAGTATGTCAGATACCCCAGTTGTCAGATACCCCAGTTGTCAGATACCCCAGTTGTCAGATACCCCAGTTGTCAGATACCCCAGTTGTCAGAAACCCCAATTGTCAGATACCCCAGTTGTCAGAAACCCCAGTTGTCAGATACCCCAGTTGTCAGATACCCCAGTTGTCAGATACCCCAGTTGTCAGATACCCCTGTATGTCAGACACCCCAGTTGTCAGATACCCCAGTTGTCAGATACCCCTGTATGTCAGACACCCCAGTTGTCAGAAACCCCAGTTGTCAGATACCCCAGTTGTCAGATACCCCAGTTGTCAGATACCCCTGTATGTCAGACACCCCAGTTGTCAGAAACCCCAGTTGTCAGATACCCCAGTTGTCAGAAACCCCAGTTGTCAGATACCCCAGTTGTCAGATACCCCTGTATGTCAGACACCCCAGTTGTCAGATACCCCAGTTGTCAGAAACCCCAGTTGTCAGATACCCCAGTTGTCAGATACCCCTGTATGTCAGATACCCCTGTTGTCAGATACCCCTGTATGTCAGATACCCCAGTTGTCAGATACCCCAGTTGTCAGATACCCCTGTTGTCAGATACCCCTGTATGTCAGACACCCCTGTTGTCAGATACCCCTGTATGTCAGACACCCCAGTTGTCAGACACCCCAGTTGTCAGATACCCCAGTTGTCAGATACCCCTGTATGTCAGACACCCCAGTTGTCAGATACCCCTGTTGTCAGATACCCCAGTTGTCAGATACCCCAGTTGTCAGATACCCCTGTATGTCAGACACCCCAGTTGTCAGATACCCCTGTTGTCAGATACCCCAGTTGTCAGATACCCCTGTATGTCAGATACCCCATTTGTCAGATACCCCTGTTGTCAGATACCCCAGTTGTCAGATACCCCTGTTGTCAGATACCCCTGTATGTCAGATACCCCATTTGTCAGATACCCCTGTTGTCAGATACCCCAGTTGTCAGATACCCCTGTATGTCAGATACCCCTGTTGTCAGATACCCCTGTTGTCAGATACCCATGTTGTCAGATACCCCAGTTGTCAGATACCCCTGTTGTCAGATACCCCAGTTGTCAGATACCCCTGTATGTCAGACACCCAAGTTGTCAGATACCCCAGTTGTCAGATACCCCAGTTGTCAGATACCCCAGTTGTCAGATACCCCAGTTGTCAGACAGTGGAGGAGAGATGGCTTGTCAAAACATGTGAGATTTACCTGTTGTGGTAATGGAGCAGTCTTTACAGATCTAATCACAGTATAATTGAAATCAAATGTTTTCACTATATTGTGCATATGTTGTCAGATATATCTGTATTTGTCAGATATATCTGTATTTGTCAGATATAGCTGTATTTGTCACATATATCTGTATTTGTCACAGACATGTTTGCAGAAAGTTGGCTTTGTTGCATCACAGTGAGGTTCGCTTTCAATGTCTACAGCAGGAACAAGATTGGGTGATTCTAGCAAAAGTGGCAATATTGGCACATGTGTTCATCACAAATATATTTGTTTTGGCATAATTATTGTAACCTATGTTAATTAATGTTTATAAACAAAATTGTCAGCAACGTAGTTTGCATGATATTAATTTATATAAAATGTGATGAATATAAGAAATCAACATGTCATAAGGTGTCTGACAAATGGGGTTTAGGTGTCTGACAAATTGGGTTAAGGTGTCTGACAAATGGGGTTAAGGTGTCTGACAAATGGGGTTAAGGTGTCTGACAAATGGGGTTTAAGTGTCTGACAAATAGGGTTACGGTGTCTGACAAATGGGGTTAAGGTGTCTGACAAATGGGGTTAAGGTGTCTGACAAATGGGGTTAAGGTGTCTGACAAATAGGGTTACGGTGTCTGACAAATGGGGTTAAGGTGTCTGACAAATGGGGTTAAGGTGTCTGATAAATGGGCTTAAGGTGTCTGACAAATGGGGTTAAGGTGTCTGACAAATGGGGTTAAGGTGTCTGACAAATGGGGTTACGGTGTCTGATAAATGGGGTTAAGGTGTCTGACAAATGGGGTATGATTGGAACTCATTTTCCTGGGTAACAAGCATTAGATAGTGACTCAACTGTGACAATTACGTTTTTAAGGTATCTGACAAATGGCTTGAGACCATCACAAAAGTTAATGTCCAAGCAAACAATTACATTCAGTGAGGAATAATGATGGTATGTTTTGCAGCCACAAGCACCCGGAAAGGAAAGCGTGGGATTCCTGGCAGCCCTGGGTACCTCGACATCAGCTTCTTCAAGATGGCCACCCGCAAGTGGCAACGCGTCTCCCTGGAAAAAGCATTTGAATCATCATCTTTCAAATTCACCATTGAGTCTTCTCGTGTTGAACTTGACCGAGGGATGATCGAGATTACTGCAGATGATGACAACATTGTAGAGAACCTTGCCCTCTCCTTCAGTGTGTCTCTGCTGCATGTTCTGTGTCAGCCCCGCCCCCGGGGGTGGGAACCGGGACACACGCTGGATCCAGATGACAAGAGAGGAACTAAAGCTATCAGGTCCATCCCATCAGAGAATCTAGCCTTGGTGCTTGCTTGTGGGTTCCTTGCTGCCACTCCATGCAATTTCTTCATCCGGTCCCGTCAGAGAGATCCGGAGAGTGTGAAGGGGTGGACAACAGGGGAGGGGAAGCCCATTGAGGAGCATTATGGGGAGAGCATGTGGGGGGGGACAGTCCAGGAAGAGGGGGGAGCTCGGGAGGAGCTTGCTGCAGCTGTGTGGGGTGGGGATATGGGTAATGGGGATGTTGAGGACAGGCATGAAGACCATGAGGCTCCAGAGGAGCCTGTCAAGGAGCCCAGCAGTTCTGAATCTGATGCTGAGAGTGAAAAGAGTGAAGAAGACAATGAGGAAGAAAAGGATGATAATACTGATGATAACCATCTCACAGACGAAAGAGAAAATGAGGAGGATCCTGAAATTGAAGACATTGCTGAGTTTGACAATGGTACTTTGGAGGGTAATGAGTGTCCTGAGGATGCACCTGAGGAGTTTGAGGGGGTACTTGATGACAATGAGGAAGATGATGAAGAAGGTGATGAAGCCCTCAATGGTGAAGGCAATGGCCTGAATGATGACAGTGATCGGCTTGATGGTGACAGCAGGCTAGGAGAGGTTGATAATGGGTTTGATGATGATGCTAACTCTGAGACAGGACTGCTTGCTGCTGAAGACCAGGATCTTGGGGATGACCAGGATCTCGGGGATGACCAGAATTTTGGGGATGACCAGGATGATGCCATTGATGATCAAGGTCTAGGAGGATATGAAGATCTTGACAATGATCAGAATGACGACTTTGGTTATGCTGAGTTAGAAAATGAAACATTTGGTGGAGAAAATGATGAAAATTTTGGTGAAAATGAGCAAGGATTTGGAGATTTTGGTCTTTGTGGAAGTAATGATGATGTTGGACATCTAGATGATGGGGGTGACTTTGGTGGCACAGATGACCCTTATGCTTTGGGCATCTTGGACGATGATGCAGGAGACATGCAGGGATTTGGGATTACAGATACAGAGGGATTCACAGCACATGATGATGAGACAGAGATGCTAGGTCTGGGATATTCAGACGCACAGGAGGATTATGACTTCGGTGGGGTGGGAGATGATGGATTTGGGGATGGGGGAACCTTTGGAGGTGCAGACGACTATTTCTCTATGGGTGTGTATGATGATACAGCGTGTGATGACTGGACCCTTGGTGGGGGTGATGGTGGAGCTACCGGAGATGCTGATGGCGGAGGGTGTGGAGGTTGTGGAGGAGGTTGGAATGGTGGTGGAGTGGGAGATGGAGGGGGAGATGGAGGTGCATTCAGCGGGGGTGGGGAAGGGGGGTTCAGTGGTGATGGTGGAGGAGGTTTCAGTGGAGACCTGGGTGGGGGATTCTTTGGAGATAATGGAGGTGGGGGAGGCGGGTTTGCTGATGGGGGAGGTGGCAGTGGAGATGGTGGGGGCGATGGTGGGGGTGATGGTGGGGGAGGAGGTTGTGGTGGGGGATGTGGAGGGGGATGTGGAGGTTGAGCTGTTGACAAAACAAATATATTTTTTCAGTTTTCACATTCTGGTCAAATGCTGGGGACCATTGAGAAAAATATCAAAGTCTTCTGGATTGACATATACACCTGTTCTTGAGTCAACTAATTGAAACGGTTTATTTCAAGGAAAGAAGACAATTCTTCTCATTCAATGAAGGGTCACCCTGCTATAGTTATTCCTGCTGTTGATATCTATGTATGATCAGCGGGGAAGGTGTTTCTCACAGAACAAATCTCTTTACATGTTTTATTTTTTAAAAGGTTTGCAGAGACCTAAACATATTTTGCAGATAAATAATTCATTGAAAACTATTATGTTCTTTTACAAGTGTTTGTGATTTTTTACTTACTGGTTAACTTGACATAAATGCTCAATTGAAATGGTTGTGTTTATTTTTAGCTCATCTGATTGAAAGTCAAATCAGTGTGTCATGGCCTGTTTGTCTGTCATCCGTCTTCTAACCTCTTCTGCTTTTCCTCAGAAACGTCTGGACAAATGAAGCTCAGATTTCTTACTCTTGTTCCCACCCATGATGACACCCAAATTGTTCCAGAGTTTTGACTTCTATTTTCTTTATGGCAGCATTATTGAAAAACTATTTCTGGACACTTCTCTGTCTGTTTTGTTCAAAGTGTAATGAAATTTGGGACATGTGTAGTTAATACTTTGGTTCAACAGATGTGTTTCTTTTTGGCGACATTTATATTTTTGATCTTGATTTGATCTTTGCACTTCCACCACACTGAAAGTTGAAACTTCTTGTGGCTGCTAATCCGTAATTTGTGTTCCAAATGTAATGAAATTTGGACAATGTGTAGTTGAGTTCAATATGTATGTTCCATTTTTGTGATATTATGAACTTTGACTTTGCACTTTGACAATGTTCTTAAATTCTCTCAAAGTGCATTTCCTTGCACTGTAAACATAATCCTCTCTCAATCTACAGAACCAATGATGCTGAAACTTCACATGTTTGTTTCCACCAATGGCGACATTTTAATTTGAGTTTGAAGAGGTTCAAATCTGATTTTCAATATGGCGGCCTCGTCTTTATCATGGCCATTTTCAGCTGTTCATATCCAGGTGAGCTACAGTGCTGTGGCACTATTTGTATTTTATTGCATGGGAAAAGTTATTGTTAAATCTTGTCTGTTACGGCTCAAGTGTGAACCTGCCTGCAGTGCATGGGGAGGCCTGGGGTAGTATATTCCTAAACATCAGCTTGCTCAGTGACACAATCTGGACACACTGGTGACAGAGTGGTCTCCATGTGCCAGTTGATGATTGACTTGTCTTCCGCTCATATCAGCTGTAGTTTTGTATATGTATTTTCCTGTAAATATTACTTGTTGACTTCATGATGTTGACAGTGGTTCCCACCTGGTCTGCTACTTATACACGGAATCTTTTGGCATCACGCAACAATAATATGTCTGATTATTTTGTCTACATGATACATACCTATTTATTATGTATACAAACAATGGATGTGTGACAGTGGAATATACTATGCAAGATTGTGGAGATGGAGGATATCTGGGAAGATATGGACATACAGCCATGTCTCATGTAGTGTTTGGGGGTCAAGACTGTTGACACATCTTCATAAGCTGGGGAATGTTTGTAATAAAGTCATGTTAAAGAAAAACATCTGCTTCACCCTTGTGCTACATTGGATTTCATTCAAAGATCTTTATGTTCTATATCACAACTATATCTTATATATCCAATCTTTATGTTATATATCACATCTTTGTGTTATATATCACATCTCTATACTATATATCACATCTTCATGTTATATATCACATCCCTATGTTATATATCACATCTTCATGTTATATACATATTACTATCTAGTCAAGTAGAATTACTTTGCCTGTGTGTACAGATGTTACAGTCAGTGTGTAAAATACAAAATGCCAAAGTCATTTTACTATTATTTTTCCATATATTATGTAATGAAGTTCCAAACATTTTTATGCTCTATTTCATTACCTAGTCATTTTACACATTGACTGAAACACATATATATATTCTTACAGTTCACATTACATCTTGAGCTTTACTGTACTGTTAAGCCAACAAGCAATTACCTTTTCTCAGGGTTCCAATGTTAATGAAATGCCCAAGTGAACATTATCCTGCTTCAGCACTGAGAGCTTACAGGAGTTACATTCAGCACTGAGAGCTTGGATCTCAGACGGGGATTACATTCAGCACTGAGAGCATGGATCTCAGACGGGGATTACATTCAGCACTGAGAGCTTGGATCTCAGACGGGGATTACATTCAGCACTGAGAGCTTGGATCTCAGACGGGGATTACATTCAGCACTGAGAGAATGGCTACACGCTGATATCCCCATTTAGATCTTCATGATGGCTACATGCTGATGTTGCCATTAAGATCTTCATCTTGGCTACATGCTGATATCCCCATTTAGATCTTCATCATGGCTACATGCAGATGTTGCCATTGAAATCTTTATCATGTCTATGTGCTGATGTTGCCATTGAGATCTTCATCATGGCTACATGGTGGTGCCATTGAGATCTTCCTCATGGCTACATGCTGATCCGGGGTAGAATAGGTCTTCAGCAACCCATGCTTGCCGTAATAGGCGACTATGGTTGTCGTTAGAGGTGACTGAGGGATCGGGTGGTCAGGCTTGCTGACTTGGTTGATGCACGTCATTGATTTTGCGTGGATCGATAGGCATGATGTCAATCACTTGATTTACAGACCGCCGTCATATAGCTGGAATATTGCTGTATGCGGTGTTAAACAAAAAACAGACAGACATGCTGATGTCGTTGAGATCTTCATTGTGGCCACATGCTGATGTTACCATTGAGTGAAAGACTTCAAATGTTGCATCAGCTTTATTTGAGCCACAGAGCAGGGCTACGGTTGGGGTTAGGGTTAGGGTTAAGGTTAGGCCCAACTATTGCGATCTTTTATTTCAGGTCCATCTTGATTTATGACTACAAAGAGATTGGTTCCTTTGAGTGTGTTTAGTGGGTTTGTCTGAGATGACATATGTGTACTCTTCTCCATGGCATGAACTCTAATTCACCATTCCGTATCATTCAAGGCGTGTTACTATCACATGTAGTATGGTCCATTACTTAACTGGGACTTCCTCAAAGCTGCTGATATATGTTTTGTTTTATTTTAATAATTTTACATACAACATTTAATCCAATTGTCTTTCAGTAATTTGAGGCTTCCATGCAATTGCTTCATTTGTATTTTCTCCTGAATAAACATGAATATAAATAACTGAGTCACATTCATTGTAGTTTGGATTGTGGGAAGCCTGTCAGCTACCCTTTACCTCATCAATGTCAGCTGAATAGTTCATGTGTCAGATGGAAAGGACATATTTTCACGAGTGGCGACAACGCGACATTTTGGCTGTTTGTAGCATTGTCACGCTTTTGTGGATTTTGACACTTTTTGCATGTTTTTGTAAGGGCGACAATGTCCCTTCTAAGATTCCATTGATATGTATGTGTTAACATTTAATGAAGGATTGCCAGTAGCAACAATTTACTTATATAAAAAAAGATCAACATGAGTGGTTTCAGAGTGGACAGAGGACCCATGATGAGGAAGCCATTTAAGCATGATTAAGTAAACAGAGATCGATTTAAGGAGATGGAGTTATTGCCTAAGTTTTATAGTAGGCGGGATGAAATCTGTGTCGTCAAAATCAGACCTTAGCTCTCGCTACCGCTAAAATACACATCTGAGTACATCAAATTGCCCGTCACGTCTGAACGACCTTTCGCAAACTTTGCCGAACCAAAGAAATGACTGGAAAGATGTTGACATTAGCCAGTCAGAAAGCGCTTTCTCCATTATTCATTATTCAGCGCTGGTTACAAACTGGCGACTTCCATTCCATTGTCAAATATTTTGACCAATTTCTTGATTCAAAAATTGAAAACTGAACAAATGAACATTCTGGATTGTCTAATAGATGGCTGAGATTAGATGGAAATGCAAAGTCTGTTCCGCTCAAATGTGTATCGACAGCCTCAATGGTCTAGTGGTAGAGCGCCTGCACTGAGAGTGGAAGGTCGGGGGTTCGAACCCCGGCAGCATCATATCAAAAGATGTAAACATATGGTACTTGTTACCCTTGCTTGCGCTCGACATTAAGGGGCTGAAACAAGGCCTGGCCGGCTTGGAGTCTGTATGTTGTGTCTGAGTGGGGAATTCATGTAAAACTGCCACATTCACACACGCACACAAGAGCATGCACTTGGCTATACAAGTGCAACGCTACGTTAAACCTAATCTAGCAGCGGTAAAATGTCTATGGAATGAAGACGAATACTTGTTGGGGGTCATGGGATTTTTTCCCTCTGATCAGATCGGGGATATGGAGCAAATCCGAGGACTTCTTCAGAGTTCTTAGGAGTGGGCCAGTTAACAATCTTCTCAATCTCGGCAGGGTCTGTTTGGAACCCGTCAGCAGAGACAATGCGACCAACAAACTTGACTTGTTCCTGAAAGAAGTCACACTGTTTGGCAGCTAACTTCAGTCCACTCTCCCTCCCTCTTCTCCAGACGTAAAAGATGTTCTTCAAAGGAACCCGAAAATGCAATCAGGTCATAGGGATAAATCATGCAGATATCCAAATGCAGTTCTCCTAGCAAGTGCTCCAACTGCCGCTGGTAACTAGTCCAAAGGGTAGCGGATTGTATTCATAAAATACCAGTGGTCCGACTGTAAATGCTGTTCTTCCCTTGTGCTCTCCATCAACCTCAATCTGATGATATCCGGACATCATATCCAAGACTGTAGAGACTGTAGAGACACCCGAGGTGGCTGTTTAACACTGAGTGAACCTGAGTAGTATGGGAGGCAGAAGAGCTGGTAGTAGCTCCCTGAACGGAAACCATACCGGTTATCCGTTCCCTTGGTTCATCTTCAGTTCAGTATCACACCTAACTCCTTGAGACTTTCAAGGAAGGAATCAAGTTCTTCAGATGACAACCGAGACATGGTGCGATCAAATTACCATTGTAACAGCGGTGTCACGTCTATGGAATAACGACGAATACTTGTTGGGGGTTCTTTGGATTTATTCCGTCTGTTCAGATCGGGGAGATGGAGATCCCGTCACAATATGTATATGGATGATAATTCCCTAAAACATAATATAATAAGGTTTAATTAGTAATATACAATTACAAGAATCTATATTTAAACAAGCATATTATAGTTACTGTTTACCGTGAACATGAATTTAAGTATATAGAACAACCATCAGGATATTATTACAGCTAGAAATCCCATTTATAGGATACAATACACATCAAAATAAAACAATACAAATATTAGCACATAAATACCTCTGTCTGTCTCTGTCTCTCTCTCTCTCTCTCTCAGTCTCTCACTCACAATTCTGATTCGTCTTTCAACTTTTGGTTTTTCCGTTTATTCTCTCCCACTCTTAATTTTTATTCTAATTTCAATTTCTCTGTTTTAAACACTCACTGTTTATCGCCCTCACTTGCACACACAATCTCCGCATGTCTACATCAGGAGGGGAATCATATTGTTTTACATCAACCACTCGATGACAAATTTCTGGATTTCGAAAGGTTTCATCACATTCAATGTTAAGATATTCAGCTACCTCTACCAACTCACTTTTCTTCAAAGTTGGCCTGTCCCTATTTATTGAGATTGGCGTGAAAATTTGAAAGAATGATTTGAATGAAAACCGTTTACCCAAAACTGTAAATTACTTTCCCAAACGTTATCAAAGTGTTCACCCCGGACGAGCCACTATGTTACGAGTGACACAGTGCCTCCAGTAACACAGTGCCTCCAGTAACACAGTGCCACCAGTAACACAGTGCCTCCAGTAACACAGTGCCTCCCGTGCCTCCAGTGACACAGTGCCTCCAGTAACACAGTGCCTCGAGTAACCCAGTGCCTCCAGTAACACAGTGCCTCCAGTAACACAGTGCCTCCAGTGACAGTGCCTCCAGTAACCCAGTGCCTCCAGTAACACAGTGCCTCCAGTAACACAGTGCCTCCAGTGACACAGTGCCTCCAGTGACACAGTGCCTCCAGTAACACAGTGCCTCCAGTAACACAGTGCCTCCAGTGACACAGTGCCTCCAGTGACAAAAGGAAGGACCCATCTCAGTTTCACTATTGAGAATATTTGTTGATTACCAAAAGCTGAAATTACTCAATATTTACACAATTGCGAATACAATCTATCAAACTAACGTATATGTGGCAAAGCAAAATAGGTGAATACTGAACGTGATACAGAAACTCCACGAATCTGACACAATCTGGATCCTGGGCTCAAACATTTTCCGATCACAGTTCGATTATCCAAAGACACTCATTCTAACTCAAATCACAGTTTCTCTTTCCTGTCTCTCACAAATGACCGACATGGCCGAAAACATTACAAGATTCTACAGGTAGGAATGTCACAGACCGACATGGCCGAATACATTACATGATTCTACTGGTAGGAATGTCACAGACCGACATGGCCGAAAACATTACAAGATTCTACTGGTTGGAATGTCACAGACCGACATGGCCGAATACATTACATGATTCTACTGGTTGGAATGTCACAGACCGACATGGCCGAATACATTACATGATTCTACTGGTAGGAATGTCACAGACCGACATGGCCGAATACATTACATGATTCTACTGGTTGGAAAGTCACAAACCGACGTGGTCACCTTGTAAGTGTGAGAGGTCCGTTCTGGACCCATCTCAGCTCTCAAAATCAACACTCTCTCAACTCTAACGCCTGGGGGTACGTCTCCACAACCTGGCTCCCCCTCACTCACTCAGTCACGTGTCCAAGCCTCTAAAACAATACACCACACATTGCTTACAGGGCTACATATGCTATGTGGCGATCATGCCGACCATCAGGCGCACAGCTGATCAATCACAGGTCCACCTTTACTATATCCTCAATACCCTCTTTGGTTACAATACATGGTACTCTTCTATCGATAGAAATGATGCGCGCATGTAACATGTGTAACCTCATTTCATTTCATTGACTGAATGTTACAGGGAATCCTCGTTTTCTTAGGTACTGGACCGTTGGGGTAGCCTCGTGGTTAAAGCGTTTGCTCGTTACACTGAAGGCCCAGTGTCACACGAGTACAATGTGTGAATCCCATTTCTGGAGTCCCCCGCCATGATGTTGCTGGAATATTGCTAAAAGCTGCGTAAAACCATATTCACTCGCTCCCTCACTCACTCACTCTTAGCTACTGAATGTTCATATATAAATAAAGTCCCTATCTTCAGCGCCATTTCCGTCTACGTAGTCGCTCATAGCGCCTCACACAGGGTCATACACGCATCTAAAGAGATAAGTCTTTAGTTTTGTCTTGAAAGTGTCCGGAGTTGGAGATTGCCTAATTTCCACTGGAAGGGAATTCCAGAGCACAGATGCAGTGTGAGCAAAAGTTCTGTAGCCGAATGCTTTGAGTGAGACCCTAGGGACACTAAACTGGAGTTTATGTGCTGATCTGAGATCTCGTGCTGGCTGGTGTAGGGTAAGAAGTTCACTCAGATAGGAAGATGCTGTACTATATTAGCACTGGTATGCAATGCACACGACTTTGTATTCAATCCTTGATCTTATTGGAAGCCAGTGTAATGATTTTAATAAAGGAGTGACATGTGCACGCTTATTTCGTCTACATATCAATCTGGCAGCACCATTCTGCACACGTTGCAATTTGCTACATAGATCCTGTTTGATATTAATAAGCAGACTCTTAGCATAGTCCAACCTGGATAGGATAAGTGATCTCACGAGCTGATGTGCAGCATCGTATGTCAACATGGGTCTTATCTGACTGATATTTCGAATGTGGAAGTAGCAACTTTTGCAGATATTGTTTACTTGACAATCCATGGTCAGGTGTTGGTCAAAGATGACTCCGAGGTCATTGACACTCAAAGAAAAGGGGATATCAACTCCATCAACAGTCAAGAATGATTCGGATATTGATGCAACAGATCGGCTCCTCCCAGTGAGTATGACCTCGGTCTTATCAGGGTTGAGCTTCAGACGATTCTGTGTCATCCATGTCTGGATCGCAGATGTGCACATTCGCAATTCTGCTATCACCTGTGCTGAGTCACCAGGTGTGAAGACTTTCATGAGCTGATTATCATCAGCATAACCATGACGACTAGTGTCAAAAGTGTCTGTAAATTTGCCTAACTGAGAAATATAAATCACAAACAACAGAGGTCCCAATACAGAACCCTGGGGGACTCCATAACTGTTGGATTCTGATCAATTGTTTGGATTAATTTTATATTTAAGCGGTCTTCATTTAAGTTGTAAAGGGAAGTAACTTTTATGTTGTTGTTGGTATCGCTATGTGCAAGAGACTGTGCTGTGAGCGGAGGACCGTGGAGGTTATAAAATGCAATTAAATACAAAACTTCAGTAACCGAGGAGTATGACATTATTAAAGTGGCCGTTTATTTTCATATTTGCGTCTAAATATTAGTATATTCATAGACGTTTCTGCATTATTTTGCAGTCAATCAAGCTGACAGCGCTACCTTAGTATTTCGTGGCAACGGCACCCTTCAACTAGAACAAGAAACTGTTAGAATATGAAACTAAGAATTAGAATAAATGATGAAGTTGAAGAATGATTTGACGTCCTCAATTCTTGAAACCCACATAAATTGACGTTTTAGCCATGTGGTTATCTACAGTTCGACCTCGCCATGCCAGTCATTAGTAGACAACGTGCGTCTCGCTCGAGCAGCCGAAGATACAGTCTGACCAAACTAAGTTGTTGTTTTGTCTTTGGCCTTCTCAGATTTAGCACAAACAGATTTAGAATGGCATTTGAGTGCTCATACTATGGAAACTGAGGCAGAAAAACGGAAAATAACAATGACATCGAAAGGATTGATGTATTCACTAGACATTAAGAAGAAATTCATTCGTTCTCTGTGCAAAAAGTTGTTTGTAGTTGGAAACAATGTTGACAGAATCTTGAAATCAGATGAACCGGTTGCATATGAACAGGTTCGCAAGACTTATGTGAACTGGTTAACCATTTTTGAGGATATTCTGACAGAAAGAGCTAATTATTCTGCACTTGTGCTGTCACGTGTGGATGTTCCACAGGAATATTTCGATGACTTGTCTATGCTTGACTCTGAAATAGATGGTTTTCAGAATTTTAGGGTAAATATTTCTGGATGGATGCAGAATAAAGAATTTGAACGAAGACAGCAATCAAATATGGATGACTATGCATCAGAATTGTCAAAGAGTAGTATCAGATCTCGCAGATCATCATCTTCTATTTCACACGTGTCTTCTGTACGCCTGAAAGAAGAGCAGAAGAAGGCTGAGTTATTAGTCAAAGCTGCTGCATTAAAAAAGAAGCATGAGTTAGAGGTGGAAAAAGTGAGGTTGAAAATGGAGGAAGAAGAGCTGGACATAAAGACGGAGATGGCTATTTCTGATGCAAGATGGAAGGTACTAGATGAGTACGATTTTGAAAATGAACATAGCAGCAGACAAAGTACTGGTTTTGGTAAACAAAACACTCGACAACCGATGGATTTTAGTGACAGGGATCCTTTGGTTAGTGACACTCACAGTGTTGCAGTTCCAAGGTTTACACGTGACAGGGAGAAGGAAAATGAGTCACTTCCTGAAATGAAATATTATACACCAGCAGAAACACCTGTAAATTTTCCAACTCAGCAGGTGACAGAAGATCCCTTGGGAATGAGCACTACATCTGATAGTGCAATTGCTACAGTAATTCGGCAGTTGAGGAAACCAGTTACAGATCTCATGGTGTTCAGTGGTAACCCGTTGGAGTATCGAAAGTTTATGCGACAATTCAAGACCAAGATACTTGTGAACACTGATGATTTTGATGAACGTCTAAACTATTTGGAACAGTTCACATCTGGAGAAGTTCGCAACATAGTGAGTAGCTATGGTTATTTAGATGCGGAACAAGGATATCCTGCCGCAATCAAAGAGCTTCAGCAGAGATATGGAAACGAAGATGTGATAGTGAATGCTTTTATTCAAAAGGCATTAGAATGGCCCTACATCAGAGCAGACAATTCAAAAGCACTGGATGAGTACGCCGTATTCTTGTCTGAATGTGAAAACGCTGTTAAAAGCAACATTCTTGACAATACAGAAAACATCCGGAGATTGATTACGAAGCTACCCTATCATTACCAAGAAGGATTCAGAAATAAGATCCAAAGCATCCGTGCTTCAGGAAAAAGTGTAAAATTTTCAGATCTGGTACAGTTTGTTCGAAAGGAATCATGGAAAGCGAATGACCCAATGTTTGGCAAAGATGCATTGCAGAACAAGGACAAACATGGAAACACTAACAGGGCTACTTTGAAAACAAGGAATCAACTTTCACGAACAAAATTGACTTTGGCAACAGAAGTGAATACCCCTCAAAGTTCACAGGTTCCAAGATCACCAGCATCACCTCAACCTCAGACAAGTAAGAAACAAACAGGTCAGCCACCGCCTGCAGATAGGAAGTGTTTATGTTGTGAATCAAACCAGCATTTTGTGAGTGAATGTGAAAAATTCACTGCTCTGTCGTACGACGAAATAGTGAACTTTATCAGAAGTAAAAGACTTTGTTTTCGATGCCTCAGAAAAGGACATCTTAGCAAGGATTGCAGAAGTAATATCACATGTACAAAATGCCAGCGTCGACATAATGCACTGCTTCATCGTGAAGAAGCTCAAGTGATTCAACATGATACGATACAGACAAGTTCTTGCCTGAGTTCTGATATGGGGGTCGGACTAGAAACAGATGGCACGTGCACTATGGTGATTATGCCTGTGAAGGTTCTGATGAAAGGTGGGTTAAGAGCCATAGAGACTTATGCTTTTTTAGACCCAGGCAGCAGTGCGTCTTTCTGTACTGAATCATTGATGAGACAGTTGGGAGCAAGTGGCAAGCCAATGAAGCTGAACATTGACAGTATGGGCAAACCTAGAACTATCAACACCTATGCTGTATCCGGAATGCAAGTTTGCAATCTCGCCATGGAAAACCATGTTGCACTTCCCAAGATGTTTACTGTTGAAAAGTTGCCAGTGTCAAAGATTCATATTCCAACTTCAGATGACATAAAAGATTGGACTCATCTCAGGGACGTAGAGATACCAATCATAGATGCTGAAATAGGTATCATGATAGGCAACAATATCGCAGATGCCTACACACCTATAGAGGTACGTACTGGACCCGATCATGCTCCACATGCAACTAGAACCCGCCTTGGTTGGGCGTTGTGGAATGTGACTAGACCTGCGAGTGCAACTAGATGTTTGGAATCCATAAGATGCACAGTGAACAGAACAGATGTTGCAGTTCATGAATGCGAGGAGTTCAAACAGCTAGATAGGATGGTGCGACACTCATTCAACATAGATTTCCCCGAGAGGATCATCGATGATGAGAAGCAGCACTCTCAGGAAGATAAAGTATTCCTAAAGGGAGTCGATGAATCCATTAAACTCTGTGATGGACATTATGAAATATCTCTTCCTTTTAGGGAACAGAAAGTTAGTTTCCTGAACAACTACTCCTTAGCATTCAAGCGTTTGATGGGATTGAAAAGGCAGATGGAACAGGATAACAAATTTCGTTTGGAATATACCGACTTCATGAATAAAATGTTGGAGAAGGGCTATGCTGAACACATTCCAGATGATGAACCAGAACCAGAAGATGGACTTGTGTGGTACATCCCCCACCATGGTGTGTACCACCCAAAGAAGATGAAGTTGCGGGTTGTGTTTAACTGTGCAGCCACTTACAATGGTACTTCACTCAATCAACAGTTACTATCCGGACCTGATCTGACAAATAACCTCATAGGTGTTTTGGTGAGATTTCGACAAGAGAATGTAGCTGCCAAGGGAGACATAGAGAGTATGTTTTACCAAGTTTGGGTAACAAAGGCTCATTGGAACTATCAGCGGTTTCTCTGGTGGCAAGACGGGGACTACGAAAATCCACCATTGAAGTACAGGATGAAAGTCCACATGTTTGGTACTACATCGTCACCTAGTTGTGCAAATGCAGCCCTCTTGAAGACCGCTAATGACAATGAAGAAAAGTATGAACCAGAGATTGCAGAAATTGTAAGGAACAATTTCTATGTGGACGATTGCTTGTTTTCTGAGCAAGATGTAACCAAGACTGTTAGTTGTGTGACCCAGGTAAGTTCTCTGTGTCAGCAGGGTGGATTTAGACTTACTAAATGGGTAAGCAACAGTGCAGAAGTTCTCGACAAAATTCTGCCTGAAGACCGAGCTGAAGGAGTGAAAGATCTCAATCTAGATCAACTAGAAACTGGATCAGAGGAAAGAGCCCTTGGAGTTGTTTGGACAGTGCACACTGACTCCTTAGGCTTCAAAGTTAATGTGAAATATGCCGATTGTACAAGAAGACATGTCTTATCAGTCGTCAGTTCAATCTATGACCCATTAGGCATGGTTTCACCTTTTGTACTCAAGGCAAAGATTCTACTGCAAGACATGTGCCGTCAAGGACTTGGATGGGATGAAGAGGTGTCAGGTACTAAGCTCACTGTGTGGCAGCAGTGGATTGCTGATCTTCCCCTCTTAGAAAAGGTTTCCATACCAAGATGCTACAAACCTTCAGACTTTGGAACGGTAAGGGCATGTCAACTGCACATCTTCTCAGATGCTAGTAACGAAGGGTATGGTCTCACAGCTTACCTCCGGTTGAAGAATGAGATGGGCAAAGTTCATTGCTCACTGGTAATGGCCAAGGCAAGAGTAACCCCCATAAAGAAAGTAACTACACCAAGGCTTGAATTGACAGCAGCTTGTGTAGCAGTTCGGTTAAGTCGCATTCTCCAGAAGGAACTTCAGTACAAACTCACTGATATCTATTACTGGACAGACAGCATGTCTGTTATCAGGTATGTCAACAATGAAACATCACGTTTCAAGACTTTTGTGGCTAACAGAATCACTATTATCCGAGATGGTTCGGATCCCCGGCAATGGAAACACATTCCAACTGCACTGAATCCAGCTGATGCTGCTTCAAGAGGCATGAGGATGGCCACATTCTTAAAGATGGATCAGTGGTTCAAGGGACCAACCTTTCTTTGGGAATCCGAAGAGGAATGGCCCTCTGTAGTCAAGGCTTGTGACAATATTCCAGAAGATGACCCTGAAATGAAGTCTGTAGTGGCTGCTACGGTGACAGATGAATCTGTGGACATTATGAACAGACTGCTGAACTACAGTTCATCCTGGCTGAAACTGAAAAAGATTGTAGGTTGGTTCCTCCTTTTCATGGATTATCTGAAAAGGAAATTGAAAGAGAAACAAGAATCAGCAAAACGAACTCAAGAGTGTGCTGAACACTTAACTAAGAGTAAGAAAACCAAAGTGACAGTACAAGAAGAGAAATCTAGAGGTCACCTGACAGTCAAAATCATGGAGAAAGCTGAGGTCACCATATTATGTTACATCCAACAGCACTATTTCCATGACATCATCAGTGCTCTTAAAAACCCAAGCAAAGAATCAAGACTGAACAAGTCAATTCGTAAATTGGATCCGTTCCTCGAGGATGGACTGCTTCGAGTTGGTGGACGGTTGAGTCAGGCTTCATTACCTTATGAAGTAAAGCACCCCATTATATTGCCCAAAAAGTGCTTGTGTCTCAACTGATAGTACAAGATTCTCATGAATCCATGGGGCACATGGGCAAAGCTGCTATGATGACGTACCTGCGCCAACGATATTGGATACAAGGAGTGGGACATCTTATTAAAAAGATTACTTCTACATGTGTTATATGTAGAAGGTGCAGTGCTCAGAGAAAAGAACAGAAAATGGCAGATTTACCTGTAGATAGGCTGACAGCGGGCGAACCACCCTTCTCACGTGTAGGCGTTGACTTCTTTGGTCCCTTTGTGGTGAAAAGGGGTCGTTCAAATGTGAAGCGCTATGGGGTAGTCTTCACTTGTTTGGCTTTGAGAGCAGTGCATCTTGAGCTGGCCGCTTCCCTCGATACAAGCTCTTGTGTCAATGCTTTCAGACGATTCTTTGCAAGAAGAGGACATCCCAAGAAAGTTTGGACTGATAATGGAACGAATCTAGTAGGCTGTGAGAGGGAAATGAGAGAAGACATACACCTATGGAATATCGAACAACTGCATCAGACTTTCCTCCAGAGGAACATTTCGTGGGAGTTCAATCGTCCATCCGCCTCTCATCACGGTGGGGTATGGGAGCGCATGATACGTACCATAAGGAGGATCTTGTACTCTCTTCTGCACAGTCAAGTCATACATTTAGATGACGATGGTCTACAGACTCTCTTCTGCGAGGTCGAGGTTATCGTTAACAGTCGCCCGATTACCACTGTGACAAATGATGTCAAGGACCTGAAACCATTGACACCCAATGATCTACTAATGCTTCGAAGTGGTGGAGCACTACCTCCAGGACTATTTAGAGCAGACGACTGTTACGCCAAAAGACAATGGAGGCGGATACAGTATCTGTCTGATTCATTCTGGAAGCGATGGTCAAAGGAATATATCACCATGTTACAGGAAAGAGTAAAATGGACTCGTGTCCGAAAGAACATCAGTGTAAATGATATTGTCTTGGTCATGGACAATTTGCCTCGAAATTCATGGAGCCTTGGGCGAGTAGTCGAAGTGTATGCTGACAAAAAAGGATTTGTTCGCATCGTGAGGATCAAAACACCCACATCAACTGTGCTGCGTCCCATAAGCAAACTCTGTGTACTTCTGGAAGTGAACAGTGACTCAGTTAACAGCTAGAACGTGGCATATGAAAGATGCCTTTGATGATGACATTAAAGACACATGCCAATCTATTCCAAGAATCTTACTTATGTGCAAAAGATCAGTTATGTTAAACAGTATAATTGTTTCATTCGTACTCCACAATTAGGGGGTCGGAATGTTGGATTCTGATCAATTGTTTGGATTAATTTTATATTTAAGCGGTCTTCATTTAAGTTGTAAAGGGAAGTAACTTTTATGTTGTTGTTGGTATCGCTATGTGCAAGAGACTGTGCTGTGAGCGGAGGACCGTGGAGGTTATAAAATGCAATTAAATACAAAACTTCAGTAACCGAGAAGTAAGACATTATTAAAGTGGCCGTTTATTTTCATATTTGCGTCTAAATATTAGTATATTCATAGACGTTTCTGCATTATTTTGCAGTCAATCAAGCCGACAGCGCTACCTTAGTATTTCGTGGCAACGGCACCCTTCAACTAGAACAAGAAACTGTTAGAATATGAAACTAAGAATTAGAATAAATGATGAAGTTGAAGAATGATTTGACGTCCTCAATTCTTGAAACCCACAATAACAAAGGATTGAATATCAGCTTATGAACGTATTGCTACAGTATAATCTCATTACATGTTTGCTTTGAATGTATTGCGACACTGGACAAGTACATGTCAGCTACTGAATGTATGGCTACAGTTGAACGTAATGACACCTTAATTATTGCATGCATGGCTATAGTTGAATGAAATGACACCTTAGTTACTGAATACATGGCTACACTTGAATGGAATGACACCTTAGTTACTGAATGCATGGCTACACTTGAATGTAATGACACCTTAGTTACTGAATGTATGGCTACACTTGAATGTAATGACACCTAGTTATTGAATGTATGGCTACACTTGAATGTAATGACACCTTTATTACTGAATAGATCGCAACACTTGAATGTAATGACACCTTAGTTACTGAATGTATCGCAACACTTGAATGTAATGACACCTTAGTAACTGAATGTATCGCAACACTTGAACGTGATGACACCTTAGTTACTGAATGTATCGCAACACTTGAATGTAATGACACCTTAGATACTGGGTGTATGGCTACACTTGAACGTGATGACACCTTAGTTACTGAATGTATCGCAACACGTGAATGTAATGACACCTTAGTTACTGAATGTATGCCTACACTTGAATGTAATGACACCTAAGTTACTGAATGTATGGCTACACTTGAATGTAATGACACCTTAGTAACTGAATAGATCGCAACACTTGAATGTAATGGCACCTTAGTTACTGAATGTATTGCAACACTTGAAAGTAATGACACTTTAGTTACTGAATGTGTCGCAACACTTGAACGTTATTACACCTTAGTTACTGAATGTAACGCAACACTTAAACGTAATGACACCTTAGTTACTGGATGTATGGCTACACTTGAACATGATGACACCTTAGTTACTGAATGTATGCCTACACTTGAATGTAATGACACTTTAGTTACTGAATGTATGCCTACACTTGAATATAATGACACCTTAGTTACTGAATGTATGCCTACACTTGAATGTAATGACACCTTAGTTACTGAATGTATGGCTACACTTGAATGTAATGACACCTTAGTTACTGAATGTATGCCTACACTTGAATGTAATGACACCTTAGTTACTGAATGTATGGCTACACTTGAATGTAATGACACCTTAGTTACTGGATGTATGGCTACACTTGAACATGATGACACCTTAGTTACTGAATGTATCGCAACACTTGAATGTAATGACACCTTAGTTACTGAATGTATCACAACACTTGAATGTAATGACACCTTAGTTACTGAATGTATGGCTACACTTGAACGTGATGACACCTTAGTTACTGACTGTATCGCAACACTTGAATGTAATGACACCTTAGTTACTGAATGTATGCCTACACTTGAATGTAATGACACCTTAGTTACTGAATGTATGGCTACACTTGAACGTAATGACACCTTAGTTACTGAATGTATGGCTACACTTGAATGTAATGACACCTTAGTTACTGAATGTATGGCTACACTTGAATGTTATGACACCTTAGTTACTGAATGTATCGCAACACTTGAATGTAATGACACCTTAGTTACTGAATGTATGCCTACACTTGAATGTAATGACACCTTAGTTACTGAATGTATGGCTACACTTGAACGTAATGACACCTTAGTTACTGAATGTATGGCTACACTTGAATGTAATGACACCTTAGTTACTGAATGTATGGCTACACTTGAATGTAATGACACCTTAGTTACTGAATGTATGGCTACACTTGAATGTAATGACACCTTAGTTACTGAATGTATGGCTACACTTGAATGTAATGACACCTTAGTTACTGAATGTATGGCTACACTTGAACGTAATGACACCTTAGTTACTGAATGTATGGCTACACTTGAATGTAATGACCCCTTAGTTACTGAATGTATGGCTACACTTGAATGTAATGACACCTTAGTTACTGAATGTATGGCTACACTTGAATGTAATGACACCTTAGTTACTGAATGTATGGCTACACTTGAATGTGATGACACCTTAGTTACTGAATGTATGGCTCCACTTGAACGTAATGACACCTTAGTTACTGAATGTATGGCTACACTTGAATGTAATGACACCTTAGTTACTGAATGTATGGCTACACTTGAATGTAATGACACCTTAGTTACTGAATGTATGGCTACACTTGAATGTAATGACACCTTAGTTACTGAATGTATGGCTCCACTTGAACGTAATGACACCTTAGTTACTGAATGTATGGCTACACTTGAATGTAATGACACCTTAGTTACTGAATGTATAGCTACACTTGAATGTAATGACACCTTAGTTACTGAATGTATGGCTACACTTGAATGTAATGACACCTTATTTACTCAATGCATGGCTACACTTGAATGTTATGACATCTTCGTTACTGAATGCATAGCTACACTTGAATGTAATGACACCTTAGTTACTGAATGTATCGCAACACTTGAACATGATGACACCTTAGTTACTGAATGCATGGCTACACTTGAATGTAATGACACCTTAGTTACTGAATGTATCGCAACACTTGAATGTAATGACACCTTAGTTACTGGATGTATGGCTACACTTGAATGTAATGACACCTTAGTTACTGAATGTATGGCTACACTTGAATGTAATGACACCTTAGTTACTGGATGTATGGCTACACTTGAATGTAATGACACCTTAGTTACTGAATGTATGGCTACACTTGAATGTAATGACACCCTAGTTACTGAATGTATGGCTACTCTTGAATGTAATGACACCTTAGTTACTGAATGTATGGCTACACTTGAATGTAATGACACCTTAGTTACTGAATGTATGGCTACACTTGAATGTAATGACACCTTAGTCGTTGAATGTATCGCAACACTTGAATGTAATGACACCTTAGTTACTGAATGTATCGCAACACTTGAATGTAATGACACCTTAGTTACTGAATGCATGGCTACACTTGAATGTAATGACACCTTAGTTACTGAATGCATGGCTACACTTGAATGTAATGACACCTTAGTTACTGAATGTATGGCTACACTTGAATGTAATGACACCTTATTTACTCAATGCATGGCTACACTTGAATGTTATGACATCTTAGTAACTGAATGCATGGCTACACTTGAATGTAATGACACCTTAGTTACTGAATGTATCGCAACACTTGAACATGATGACACCTCAGTTACTGAATGCATGGCTACACTTGAATGTACTGACACCTTTATTACTGGATGTATGGCTACACTTGAATGTAATGACACCTTAGTTACTGAATAGATCGCAACACTTGAACGTAATGACACCTTAGTTACTGAATGTATCGCAACACTTGAATGTAATGACACCTTAGTTACTGAATAGATCGCAACACTTGAATGTAATGACACCTTAGTTACTGAATGTATGGCTACACTTGAATGTAATGACACCTTAGTTACTGAATGTATGGCTACACTTGAATGTAATGACACCTTAGTTACTGAATGTTTGGCTCCACTTGAATGTAATGATACCCTAGTTACTGAATGTATGGCTACACTTCAATGTAATGACACCTTAGTAACTGAATGTATGGCTACACTTGAACGTAATGACACCTTAGTTACTGAATGTATGGCTACACTTGAATGTAATGACGCCTTAGTTATTGAATGTATCGCAACACTTGAATGTAATGACACCTTAGTTACTGAATGTATCGCAACACTTGAATATAATGACACCTTAGTTACTGAATGTATGTCTACACTTGAATGTAATGACACCTTAGTTACTGAAAGTATGGCTACACTTGAATGTAATGACACCTTATTTACTGAATGTATGGCTACACTTGAACGTGATGACACCTTAGTTACTGAATGTATGGCTACACTTGAACATGATGACACCTTAGTTACTGAATGTATGGCTACACTTGAACGTGATGACACCTTAGTTACTGAATGTATGGCTACACTTGAATGTAATGACACCTGAGTTACTGAATGTATGGCTACACTTGAACGTGATGACACCTTAGTTACTGAATGTATGGCTACACTTGAATGTAATGACACCTTAGTTACTGAATGTATGGCTACACTTGAACGTGATGACACCTTAGTTACTGAATGTATGGCTACACTTGAATGTAATGACACCTGAGTTACTGAATGTATGGCTACACTTGAACTTGATGACACCTTAGTTACTGAATGTATGGCTACCCTTGAATGTAATGACACCTTAGTTACTAAATGTATGGCTACACTTGAACGTGATGACAACTTAGTTACTGAATGTATGGCTACACTTGAACGTGATGACACCTTAGTTACTGAATATATGGCTTCACTTGAATGTAATGACACCTTAGTTACTGAATATATGGCTTCACTTGAATGTAATGACACCCTAGTTACTGAATGTATGGCTACACTTGAATTTAATGACACCTTAGTTACTGAATGCATGGCTATAGTTGAACGTAATGACACCTTATTTACTCAATGCATGGCTACACTTGAATGTAATGACACCCTAGTTACTGAATGCATGGCTACACTTGAACGTAATGACACCTTAGTAACTGAATGTATGGCTTCACTTGAATATAATGACACCTTAGTTACTGAATGTATGGCTACACTTGAATGTAATGACACCTTAGTTACTGAATGTATTGCTACACTTGAATGTAATGACACCTTAGTTACTGAATGTATGGCTACACTTGAATTTAATGACACCTTAGTTACTGAATGCATGGCTATAGTTGAACGTAATGACACCTTATTTACTCAATGCATGGCTACACTTGAATGTAATGACACCCTAGTTACTGAATGTATGGCTACACTTGAATGTAATGACACCTTATTTACTCAATGCATGGCTACACTTGAATGTAATGACACCTTAGTTACTGAATGTATGGCTACACTTGAATGTAATGACACCCTAGTTACTGAATGTATCGCAACACTTGAATGTAATGACACCTTAGTTACTGAATGTATGGCTACACTTGAATGTAATGACACCTTAGTTACTGAATGTATGGCTACACTTGAATGTAATGACACCTTAGTTACTGAATGTATGGCTACACTTGAATGTAATGACACCCTAGTTACTGAATGTATGGCTACACTTGAACGTGATGACACCTTAGTTACTGAATGTATGGCTACACTTGAATGTAATGACACCTTAGTTACTGAATGTATGGCTACACTTGAATGTAATGACACCTTAGTTACTGAATGTATGGCTACACTTGAATGTAATGACACCTTAGTTACTGAATGTATGGCTACACTTGAACGTTATTACATCTGCACTACATAATGTACCGCTTCAGTGGAATCTCAAACATTTTAGCTGATGAATGCATTATGACAGTGGAGCCTCATAACATCTTCGTTACTGAATGTATTGCTACAGAGAAACGTCATCACATCTTCGTTACTGAATTAATTGCTTCTGTGGAACCTCATGCAGAGGATTACGCCATTGATGGTAAATGTCCTATATTGGTAATAAACAATCTATTCCTCGAGCCTTACATACCGAATGATCCTGTGTATAACTTGTACATTTTGTTCCTGATTAAGATTTAACTTCTGAGTGTTTTGAACAATACTAATGTCATATCACTGTGTTAATTGTATATCACACTTTTTAAGAATCCAGTGTCATCAGGTAAATATGTACACTGTCGACCGACTGACCCTTGTCTCCTACACCAGAAATACACACATCAATATCCCCGTGTCATCAGGTGGATATGTACATTGTTGTGACGACAGATTAATCCTTGTCTCCCCATATCAGTAATACGCAGATAGTCTCACCCGAGTGTCTTTTGATATCAACGAGTCGATAAAATGTTAAGACTCCGGGGGATATCTCCTGTGGAAGCCAGATCAATACAACTACCCTTGCTCGTTGGTTTCACCACTCGGTGATGAGCATACACGGGGCCGACATACACGGGGCGGACATACACGGGACGGACATACACGGGGCGGACATACACGGGGCGGACATACACGGGGCGGACATAAACGGGGCGGACATACACGGGGCGGACATACACGGGGCGGACATACACGGGGCGGACATACACGGGACGGACATACACGGGGCGGACATACACGGGACGGACATACACGGGGACATACACGGGGCGGACATACACGGGGACATACACGGGGCGGACATACACGGGACGGACATACACGGGGCGGACATACACGGGGACATACACGGGGCGGAAATACACGGGACGGACATACACGGGGCGGACATACACGGGACGGACATACACGGGGCGGACATACACGGGGCGGACATACACGGGTCGAACATACACGGGACGGACATACACGGGGACATACACGGGACGGACATACACGGGGCGGACATACACGGGGCGGACATACACGGGGCGGACATACACGGGGCGGACATACACGGGGCGGACATACACGGGAACATACACGGGGCGGACATACACGGGACGGACATACACGGGGCGGACAAACACGGGACGGACATACACGGGGCGGACATACACGGGGCGGACATACACGGGGACATACACGGGGCGGACATACACGGGACGGACATACACGGGGCGGACATACACGGGGCGGACATACACGGGACGGACATACACGGGGCGGACATACACGGGACGGACATACACGGGGCGGACATACACGGGGCGGACATACACGGGGCGGACATACACGGGACGGACATACACGGGGCGGACATACACGGGGACATACAAGGGGCGGACATACACGGGACGGACATACACGGGGCGAACATACACGGGGACATACACGGGGCGGACATACACGGGGCGCACATACACGGGGCGGACATACACGGGGCGGACATACAAGGGGCGGACATACACGGGGCGGACATACATGGGGCGGACATACACGGGGCGAACATACACGGGGCGGACATACACGGCACGGACATACACGGGGACATACACGGGGCGGACATACACGGGACGGACATACACGGGGCGGGCATACACGGGGACATACACGGGGCGGACAAACACGGGACGGACATACACGGGGCGGACATACACGGGGCGGACATACACGGGGACATACACGGGGCGGACATACACGGGACGGACATACACGGGACGGACATACACGGGGCGGACATACACGGGGCGGACACGGAGCTGGGAAATAACCCGAACCCTAACCCATGGTAAAAGCGACAAGGATATAAACGTCCTGAGACGTGAGTGTCAAGTGTAACAACATATTGAGGCGAGAGTGTCATGAACAAATAGTTTCCATCACAAGGTGTCCACGATTACTTTCATAACTAGATTTAGGGGCTGACCGAGGCGGATCTGACACAAGAAATAGCACCACACGTGTCCTCGTCTTCCTTCAAGTCAGCCTCATCCTCTGCAAATCCACATATTTCTGTTGTATTTACACCCGTTAAATCCACAATGATATCAATTTCCTTATGGGTGGCGGTTTGAGATTTTCTCCCAAACGCGCCAATATTCCACGTGGACGTGGACACACCATTTCCGGCAGGGGGGACAACCGTTGGTCTTGCCCTGTCTGCATCCGTAACTGGAATTATGTCGTCTATCTTCCAAGACTGTCGAAAGAAGTTCTTCATTTCGTCAAGCTGTGTGGTGAACCTGAGATTTTCAACATCAAGTCTGGAGCTGCTGTCATTCTTAAGGAAGAACTTTTTGAGTGCGAATGGTATCAAGCCTGTAACAAAAGTAGCGAAGAATTGCCCCTCCGGGGATATGTAGCTGATATCTCCATAGGCCATGACTATAACGAGGAGACAGGCCAGGAATACAATAACTCTACAGAATTCAAATATTGCTTTGATAACGGACCATGTAACGTTACCTGGCCCGCCATGACAGTTGATACCTGTCGTCAGATGGAAGAACTTTTTGGACAAGTATGGCGTGTCGTCTTTGTGAAGAAACAACACCAAACCTCTAGTATTCATACGCAGGGTGCCATCTTTCAACGAGAAAAGAGGTCCTACGTATCGGTGAACTTCTTCCTGGGTACAGACTTCAAATACAATATTTTCCTGGTCATGTAGGCTCTTCTTCGCGACATCCCGGACCGCCTGCATCTTGCCAGACATTATGAGGCCCAGGATGGTGTTGTGGTAGGACAGGTAGGTGGAACTCACCTGGCTGAATGTGTCCCGGATGTAGAAGACAAGGAGGAGGATGACAGGCAGGATCCGCATCGTCAAGTTGATGTTGATGACCATGTCTATTATGACCATAGTGATGACATGAAGCAGGAAGTTGAAGCCCACGGTCAGCACAATGAACACAGCAAATATAGATGTGCTGAAGGCGAGGTTTTCAAGTGTCCTTCCACCTGTCTCTTCCTGTTTGTTGCGCTTGCTCTGACATGTTCCAAGGAGGAGCCTGAGAACCCGGATGGCGATACGGAACACTGGTGACGTCACAATGAAGTACAAGAGAAGAATTACCGGGGAAATAATGAGGCACACTAACCACAGAGGAACAATAATGATACCAAATTTTTGAACTGGACGAACACATGTTCTTACTACTGACTGTATCCGGTTCGTGTTGTGTGCCACAGAAGACCTTGCTGCGTTGCTGTATAGTAACTCTCCGTACAGTTTTCCCAAGTTTCTGTCAAGTATTCCGTCAATGACGACAACGGCGACATGCAGGACATACACGGCGCTCAACACAGCAACGACGACAGTTCCCGCGGTGATGTTGATGTCGTAGTTATAAGTCTGCTTGAGACCAAGGTCGGTCATTAGTTTGTTTACCTCCCGGTAGTGGAGCTGAGGTGAACAGAAGTAATAGAGTCTCGGCACTGCCGGTAACGCAAGGAGTGCGAAGATGAGGATGGTCCGGAGTGCTCGAAGTAGAACCTGCCACTCCGGGCATGCGCGGCAACTACACTGGCCACAAACTCCGCTGGTACAGCAATCTTCCAAAGGGTCGCTATGGCGGATCTTAAACCTGATCAAACTATCAAACAATGCGCGGAGGATTCCAAATGGCGGTTCATTCTCAGCTAAAATACGATCAAAGCCAACTTGAAAATCCACCTTCTTGACTTGAAATGTATGTACAACATCTGTAGGTATTTCAGATAGCATCGTACGAAATTTGGTCATTGCCAGACATTTCTTGAAAGTGACAAGTAATGTCTTCTGCGTCAAAACTTTAAAATCAGGATTTCGAGTTGTCATTATATTTACGAATTTCGGCGTTTCAGGAAAATATGAAAACACCTCCAATTTGTAACTTTTCGGTATTAATAATGGGAAATACAGAAACAGCACCACAGACGCTATAATTATCAGGGACCGGAGAACCCAGATCCAAATGTCATCTGCAACCAGATAGCAGGTCACGTGTCCAGCAGACGACATCCGGCAGCACTTGTAGCCCTGTTTCCCCCATCCATTGTCGTCAATGATCCTCATGGAACATACACTGGTGTCTGACGACGTCGGCGTGGTGGTGTTGTCGGTTGGAGACATGTTGTTGAGGATGGACAGTTTAACTAGCGTTTCAATCTCCACTTCTGACATTCTTCTCAAACAATTTAGAGGTTCGGTAGTAATGTCCACCTTTTGCGTCTTGAGACCAAGATTGACTAAGGGTTTGAACATTCCGTAGTAATAATGAAACAAGAGCAGAAACCTTTCTGCTGTAGAGCTGCTGCATTTATAAAAACGGGTAGGATTGTACCAATATGGTCCAGTGGCCTCGCTCCAGAATTCAGAGGAGTACCCGTTAAATAGCAGGTCATATTCGATGATATTAACCCCATCTGACAGTGCTTGTTCCTCCTCCAGTATATGCGGGGCTGTAAGAGCACACCCTGCAGCTTCACTCCGCCCCTGTAGAGCACACACTACACATACAACCACAACCAGTCCGACCCCTCCCATGGCTCAAATGTTTCTACGGCTCTGGTTCACAATCTCCCAGCAGCGTTGACGACGGAGGTAGGCCTGGATACCGGCGTATTTGTTTCACGGGACGGCCGTGCTTACTCCAATGTACTGGGATCACTCTGTGCTGCTTCACATAACAAGTCGTCATGCCGATGTGTTGATGTATGTGCAAGGCCGCTGTGTCGTTTCTAGGATGTGTCAAGCCAGGATCAACTTTGGACTAGTGTCTGTGATACCCGGTACAAATCTCCCACCCTGTCGCAATAACATTCCCTGTTATATTAACTCTTTCTGTCATAACACCCAACCCTATCGTAATAACTCCCCCTAATATAATAACGCGCCCTGTTGTATTAACTCAACCTATTGTATTGACTCATCCTATCTTAATGACTTTCCCTTACCTAATACCTCACCCATATCACAATAACTCACCCTATTGTATTGACTCACCCTATCTTAATGACTTTCCCTTACCTAATACCTCACCCATATCACAATAACTCACCCTATTGTATTGACTCATCCTATCTTAATGACTTTCGCTTACATAATACCTCATCCGTATCACAATAACTCACCCTATTGTATTGACTCACCGTGCCATGATTACTTTCCCTTACATAATATCTGGACCGCCTCCGTGGTCTAGTGGTAGAGCGTACGCCCGGAGAGCAGAAGGTCCTGGGTTCGATCCCCGGCCGCGTCATAATATATATAGTCCTCTCAGGGAGACAAGCATGGGAAACTGGGTAAGTATTCTGCCCTTGAATTCCCGCGCATGAGTTCTGTATGTACTGGAATACAAAAGGGATGCATGCACGGGCACCAGGAACTGATGTCGTAGTTTTACAGGTGGCGGAGAAGATGAAGTGCACCGGTTACCATCATGTGATTCGGAGTAAACATGACTGAAAAGGTGTTATCAAAATGACTGTGTGGGGGTTAATATCACGTGACATTAGATAAAGTAGGGTACTTGAGTTTATTTGTTTACTCGGTATGTTGAAAGCATTTAGATTGCGCTGGGCGGCAGATGGGCCACATACATGCCACACACAGCATGGGCAAGGCGTGACACACTGTCCAGGCGATACATCACAAGAAAGTGAAGTGTGAAAGTATATTTCTAATAACTCGACGTCACAGTCGGCGATCTACTAGACATCTAGTGTGTTTAATTTTGTGAGTCATCAACACAGATCAAGATGCTTTTTAAAGCAGGGAAATTTAAACGATTGAGGATCTAAAGTACACATACATGGAAACAAACAATATAGAAGACTGGAAGTGAACAAGCCTCCACTATTAAAGGTAACATACAGTGTCTAATGTGTTGGGCGACCCCAACGAAGACTTACACTACTGGAAGTGAACAAGCCTCCACTATTAAAGGTAATACGCAGTGTCTAATGTGTTGGACGACCCCAACAAAGACTTACACTACTGGAAGTGAACAAGCCTCCATTATTAAAGGTAATACGCAGTGTCTAATGTGTTGGACGACCCCAACAAAGACTTACACTACTGGAAGTGAACAAGCCTCCACTATTAAAGGTAATACGCAGTGTCTAATGTGTTAGACGACCCCAACAAAGACTTACACTACTGGAAGTGAACAAGCCTCCACTATTAAAGGTAATACGCAGTGTCTAATGTGTTGGACGACCCCAACAAAGACTTACACTACTGGAAGTGAACAAGCCTCCATTATTCAAGGTAATACGCAGTGTCTAATGTGTTGGACGACCCCAACAAAGACTTACACTACTGGAAGTGAACAAGCCTCCACTATTAAAGGTAATACGCAGTGTCTAATGTGTTGGACGACCCCAACAAAGACTTACACTACTGGAAGTGAACAAGCCTCCATTATTAAAGGTAACATACAGTGTCTAATGTGTTGGACGACCCCAACAAAGACTTACACTACTGGAGGTGAACAAGCCTCCATTATTAAAGGTCCAACACAGTATCTATTATGTTGGACGACCCCAACAAAGACTTACACTACTGGAAGTGAACAAGCCTCCACTATTAAAGGTAATACGCAGTGTCTAATGTGTTGGACGACCCCAACAAAGACTTACACTACTGGAAGTGAACAAGCCTCCATTATTAAAGGTAACATACGGCGTCTTATGTGTTGGACGACCCCAACAAAGACTTACACTACTGGAAGTGAACAAGCCTCCATTATTAAAGGTAACGTACAGTGTCTAATGTGTTGGACGACCCCAACAAAGACTTACACTACTAGAAGTGAACAAGCCTCCATTATTAAAGGTAACATACGGCGTCTTATGTGTTGGACGACCCCAACAAAGACTTACACTACTGGAAGTGAACAAGCCTCCATTATTAAAGGTAACGTACAGTGTCTAATGTGTTGGACGACCCCAACAAAGACTTACACTACTGGAAGTGAACAAGCCTCCATTATTAAAGGTAACGTACAGTGTCTAATGTGTTGGACGACCCCAACAAAGACTGTACACTACTGGAAGTGAACAAGCCTCCATTATTAAAGGTAACGTACAGTGTCTAATGTGTTGGACGACCCCAACAAAGACTGTACACTACTAGAAGTGAACAAGCCTCCATTATTAAAGGTAACGTACAGTGTCTAATGTGTTGGACGACCCCAACAAAGACTTACACTACTGGAAGTGAACAAGCCTCCATTATTAAAGGTAACGTACAGTGTCTAATGTGTTGGACGACCCCAACAAAGACTGTACACTACTGGAGGTGAACAAGCCTCCACTATTAAAGGTAACGTACAGTGTCTAATGTGTTGGACGACCCCAACAAAGACTTACACTACTGGAAGTGAACAAGCCTCCATTATTAAAGGTAACGTACAGTGTCTAATGTGTTGGACGACCCCAACAAAGACTTACACTACTGGAAGTGAACAAGCCTCCATTATTAAAGGTAACGTACAGTGTCTAATGTGTTGGACGACCCCAACAAAGACTTACACTACTGGAAGTGAACAAGCCTCCATTATTAAAGGTAACGTACAGTGTCTAATGTGTTGGACGACCCCAACAAAGACTGTACACTACTGGAGGTGAACAAGCCTCCACTATTAAAGGTAACGTACAGTGTCTAATGTGTTGGACGACCCCAACAAAGACTTACACTACTGGAAGTGAACAAGCCTCCATTATTAAAGGTAACGTACAGTGTCTAATGTGTTGGACGACCCCAACAAAGACTTACACTACTGGAAGTGAACAAGCCTCCATTATTAAAGGTAACGTACAGTGTCTAATGTGTTGGACGACCCCAACAAAGACTGTACACTACTGGAGGTGAACAAGCCTCCACTATTAAAGGTAACATACAGTGTCTAATGTGTTGGACGGTTCTTACAAACAAAAACATATACAGGGAGCATACAATGTCTACAATGCTGGACGAATCCAAATTTTCTATACAATACTGTGTGGGAACAAGCCCCTGGCATTAAAGGTCGCATTATCGACGACTGAAACAGGTAACGTCTAAACCAAAAACATTGATAGATGAACACAGTCAACAGTAGCTAGTAACTGTTCGCTTGTACATCCATCCAAATAGTAAGCAGTAGCTAGTCCTATTGTACAACATATGTATATCAAAATAGTAAGCAGTAGCTAGGCCTATTGTACAACATATGTATATCAAAATAGTAAGCAGTAGCTAGGCCTATTGTACAACATATGTTTATCAAAATAGTAAGCAGTAGCTAGACCTATTGTACAACAAATGTATATCAAAATAGTAAGCAGTAGCTAGACCTATTGTACAACATATGTATATCAAAATAGTATGCAGTAGCTAGTCCTATTGTACAACATATGTATATCAAAATAGTAAGCAGTAGCTAGACCTATTGTACAACATATGAATATCAAAATAGTAAGCAGTAGCTAGTCCTATTGTACAACATATGTATATCAAAATAGTAAGCAGTAGCTAGACCTATTGTACAACATATGAATATCAAAATAGTAAGCAGTAGCTAGTCCTATTGTACAACATATGTATATAAAAAATAGTAAGCAGTAGCTAGTCCTATTGTACAATATACGCATATCAAAAGCAGTATCTGGACCTCTTGGTACTGTCATGGTCACGCATAACACTGCTCTGTCTCGTCATGGTCACGCATAACAGCGCTCTGTCTTGTCATGGTCCCGCACAGCACTGCTCTGTCTTGTCATCGTCTCGCACAACACTGCTCTGTCTCGTCATGGTCCCGCACAGCACCGCTCTGTCTTGTCATGGTCCCGCACAGCACTGCTCTGTCTTGTCATCGTCTCGCACAACACTGCTCTGTCTTGCCATGGTCTCGCACAGCACTGCTCTCTCTTGTCATCGTCTCTCACAACACTGCTCTCTCTTGTCATCGTCTCGCATAACACCGCTCTGTCTTGTCATCCTCTCGCCCAACACCGCTCTGTCTTGTCAGCGTCTCGCATAACACCGCTCTCTCTTGTCATCGTCTCGCACAAAACTGCTCTGTCTTGTCATCTTCTCGCACAACACTGCTCTGTCTTGTCAGCGTCTCGCATAACACCGCTCTCTCTTGTCATCGTCTCGCACAAAACTGCTCTGTCTTGTCATCTTCTCGCACAACACTGCTCTGTCTTGTCATCGTCTCGCACAACAACGCTCTGTCTCGTCATGGACCCGCACAACACTGCTCTGTCTTGTCATCGTCTCGCACAACACCGCTCTGTCTTGTCATCCTCTCGCACAACACCGCTCTGTCTTGTCATCCTCTCGCACAACACCGTTCTGTCTTGTCATCGTCTCGCACAACACTGCTCTATCTTGTCATTGTCTCGCACAACACCGCTCTGTCTTGTCATCGTCTCGCATAACATTGCTCTGTCTTGTCATCCTCTCGCACAACACTGCTCTGTCTTGTCATTGTCTCGCACAACACCGCTCTGTCTTGTCATCCTCTCGCACAACACTGCTCTGTCTTGTCATCGTCTCGCACAACACTGCTCTATCTTGTCATTGTCTCGCACAACACCGTTCTGTCTTGTCATCGTCTCGCACAACACTGCTCTGTCTTGTCATCGTCTCGGACAACACCGCTCTGTCTTGTCATCCTCTCGCATAACACCGCTCTGTCTTGTCATCGTCTCGCACAACACTGCTCTGTCTTGTCATCGTCTCGCACAGCACTGCTCTGTCTTGTCATCGTCTCGCACAACACTGCTCTGTCTTGTCATCGTCTCGC